AAAAGTCCTAGAGATTTAATTTCTATATCAAAAAAAAAATAGACACAAGTGTACATTTACATAAAAGAATAAAATCTTATGGGGTTAGGGCTGGGGCTCAGTAGTGGAGCGCTTGCCTAGCACATGTGAGGCACTGGGTTCAATTCTCAGCACCACATATAAATAATGAATAAAGGTCCATCGACATTTGAAAAAAAAGAATAAAATCTTAAAATACAATTCTAAGACTTTTGATACACATTTTCAAATTCCTAACAAAAAAATTGCATCAATTTGTATTCCTACTCACATTGAATAAAAGTGCCCATTTCTGCCAGGCATGGTGGTACACACCTATAATCCCAGCAACTCAAAAGACTAAAGCAGGAAGATCACAGGTTTGTACTTAACTATGGCCTAGTCAGTCAATCACTTAATTGGTCATAACTTAACTAGTTAATTGTTTACAGCTTAATTAGATCATTGATCTTCTGCAACCAACCAAAGCTTACTTACTATGATTAAACTCTATATTGGTTTGGTTTGTTGGGCCCTGAGCAGGTGCCTGGTCCAAATACATGGCCTCTTACAAAATCCAGTTTTTTTGTTTTGTTTCAGTTTTGTATGTTTGTTTTTTGTTTTGTTTTGATTTTTGACACAGGGTCTCACTAAGTTGCTTAGGCTGGCTTCAAACTTAAGATTTTCCTGTCTCAGTTCCCCTAGTCACTGGGATTACAGGGATGCAGCACAGGCCCAGCTCAAAATCTTAATACTTTTATCAGTTTGAGTTGTGTCCTCTAACACTGAAACCTAACGTCTATTCATCAGTGCTGTGTTCCTAGGCACACTAAACTTCTATATCCATTCCTTATGTTTTATGGAGTTTTTCCTTTTACATTTAGAAACTCACTGTAAGGTCTCATAAATATTTACTAAATATATAATTTCAATTCTTATTCGGCTTATATTTATTTGAATTTTTAAAACTAACTTGAATTTGATGAATCATTATTATTCTTTTCTAAAATTTCAACCCATCATTTGATAAAAATGTACTTAATCCATTCTCCCGTTGATTGAATAGTACTTTTACTAAATGTTAAAGTAAAGTGACCCCTTTAAAATGCAAATGGGATCATGTAAAAGACCTGCTTTTGAGAACTTTTTTCTTATACTTACAGAGAGCCTACAAAGTCCTGTGTGATCTCTATCTTGCTTTTCTTTGCCAACCTCACCTTCATTACTTCCCTATGTTTCAGTATGCTCTGGATATATCAACCTCTGTAATCTACAGCACACCACTGACTGCATACCTTCTAAGCATGCCTACATTTTTCTTTTTCTTTCTTTCTTTTTTTTTTTTTTCAGTGCTAGAGATCAAACCTATGGCCTAGTTTATGCTAGGCAAGGGCTCTACATTATACTCCTAGCCTTAATATCCACCTTTTAATCATGATTTTCTCTCTGCCTAGAATGCTTGTTCTTACTCTCCTAGCTTCTCTGATAAAATCTACTTTCTCAGAGAGGCCTTCTTTGACCACAGGTCATAGCCATTTTTAAGTCCTCATTTTAATAGATTCATATGCATCGTCGGTACAATGCCAGTGGAGTTTGTCACTTAAAATGTCTTCAGGGAGCAGGTGTAGTTCAGTGGTAAAGCATGTGCTCAGCATGTGTGAGTCCCTGGGCTCGGTTCTCAGCATTAAAAAAGAAAAAATATTCAGACTGATTGTGATATGGCATTAAACCAAAATATTGTGTAAATCCGGAACACTAAAACAGAATAGCAAAAGAATATAAATTCATTATGAGTGAAACAAATGTTTCTCCCTAGAAGAATGAACGTATTCCAAAGAAGCTACTATTTGTTTTTGGTAGGAGGAATGTGTTTAATATTATTTTTAATAACTGTGGCTATTCATCTTTCTTTTAAAATTGTTCTTTTTAGATAGTAGAGTGTATTTTGACATATTCTATATACATCTAATATAACTTGTTCTAACTAGGATCCCTTTCTTGGGGTTGTACATGACATGCAGTTACACTGGTCATATATTCATATATGAACATAGGAAAGTTATGTCTGATTCATTCCTGTCTTTTCTATTCCCATCCCCCCCTTAACTTCATTCCCCTTTGTCTAATCCAATGAACTTCTGTTCTTCCCTCCCCATCCCCCTTATTGTGTGTTAGCATCCACATATCAGAACATTCAGCCTTTGGTGTTTTGGGACTGGCTTATTTCACTTAGCTTGATAGTCTCCAGTTCCATTCACTTGCAGGCAAAGGCCATAATTTCATTCTTCTTTATGGCTGAGTAATATTCCATTGTGTATAAATACCACATTTTCTTTAACCATTCACCTGTTTAAGGCACCTAGGTTGGAGGAATTGCTATTTTAAGGGACCCAAAAAAGGAAAATTCCCACAAATAGATGAAACTGTTTTATGATGTTATTGTGAAGGGGTTGATTTTGATGCTAAGGATTAAACCCAGGGCCTTGCCCATGCTATTCTATCACAAAGAATAATTGATCACACATAAAGCAAGAAAATGCCAGCATCAAAACTTACAAATGAGTGGCAGGGTCTTGGAAGCAATTCAAGAGACAAAAGAGTAGCACTTTTCAGAAATGCTACATCATCAACACCCTTGACAACAGAGAGCACGATAGTATATAGAAAAACAACAGGGCTGGAGTTGTGGCTCAAGTGGTAGAGTGCTTCCCTAGCGTGGGTGAGGCACTGGGTTCGATCCTCAGCACCACATAAAAAATAAAATAAAGACATTGTATCCACCTAAAAAACTAAAAACTAAATATTTAAAAAAGAAAAACAATACTATAAGCAACTGGGTAGGAAGTTCTGAATGTAAATAAATAGTATGAATGCCTTAACCTATTTATGATGTTAGAGATCAATCCCAGACCCTCACACATGCTAGGCAAGCATTCTATCATTGAGCACACCCTTTGCCCTCATGTATCTTTTAAATGTATGTACAACAGTGCTATAAGACAATAATGTTTTTTAAAGTATAAACATTCTTTTAATAATTATAAAATATAAATTTTAAATGATAAAGCACTAGATCATAGTTTGGTGGTGTTTTATATCTTGTGCTACATAAAATAATGGTACATCTAATAAAATTCAGTGAATAGATATATGTGATATAAATAGATACATGTCAGAGGGACAGAATAGAGTAGGGATGCAATATGTACATATATATATATATATATATATATATATATATAATATGTATACATACTACATATATTACATATATATGAATGAAAGATGCCCAACTTTGGCTGGGGGTGGGGCATCACTCAGTGGTTAGACTACTCATCTAGCATTAGCAAGGCCCTGGGTTCAATCCCTAGCAACACAGAAAAAAAAAATAAAAACAAGATCACTAATACTTAAAAGTTAGGAAGATAAGGGGAAATGGGCATGCCCCATACACACAGTATTGACTGGACTATAAATTAAAATCTTTTTTTGCCCTCAATATTGGGAATTGAGTCTGGTACCCTGTGCATAGTATACAAGTGCCCCAGCACTAACTACATCCTAAGCCCTACAATACAATCTTTTTTGAGGGGGTGGGGTGTACTGAGGATTGAACTCAGAGGCACTCAACCACTGAACCAAATCCCCAGCCCTATTTTGTATTTTATTTAGAGACAGGATCTCACTGAGTTGCTTAGTGCCTCCCTTTTGCTGAGGCTGGCTTTGAACTCGCAATTCTCCTATCTCAGTCTCCCAAGCTGCTGCACCAGGCTCCTATAATGATCTTTTAAAGGTCAGTTTAGTGACCCATCAGTTTAGCTGGGTGTGGTAATGCACACCTGACTAGAAGTCTAGCTACTCAGGAGACTGAGGCAGGTGGATAGCAAATTGGAGGCCAGATTGGGCAATTTAGCAAAACCCTGACTCAAAATAAAATTTTAAAAAGGTCTTGCCTATATATGGAATCCAATGAAACACAGACTTTTCAGATCAGATTTGGTTACTTTGAGTATTTGAAAGTGCTGTCTTCATATTTTATTTCATAAAGTTCTTTTATTTTTTCTTTTCCTTTTTCTTTATTTGTTTTTATTTTTAATTTTTATTTTTTTTTTTTAATTCAGGAGTGCTTGCTTCACTACCGAGCCATATACTCAGCCCTTTTTATGTTTTGTTTTGAGACAGGATCTTGCTAAGTTGCCTCCCTAAATTGCTGAGGCTGACTTTGAACTTGTGATCCTCCTGCCTCAGCCTCCCTACTCACTGGGATTATAGGCATAAACCATGGTGCGCAGCTATTGTTATAACAATTTCTGATAATATTTTTTGGGGGGAGGCGGTTCAGATGATACAACCAGGGCCTTGGACACTCTGGGCAAATGCTCTACCACTGATCTACATCTATGTCCCAAATCAATTCCTTTTAGAGCTGAATAATATTCTATTATCTAGGTGTACCACGGTTATATATTTGCCTATCAGTGGGCATCCAGTTTGCCTTCAAGTTTTGGAAGTTTTAAAAACAGTTGTTATAAAAATAAATAAATAAATAAATAAAGGGCTGGGAATATAGCTCAGTGGTAGAGTGCTTGCCTAGCATGCAGACCCTAGGTTCCATCTCCAATATTGTCCCCCCCCAAAAAAAAAAATTATGTTCTTCCATTCAGCAATACTACTTCAAGGTGTTAATCTCATTAAAGGTATTTACATGCTCAAGGTGTTTGTTTGGGATGAGTCTGGTACCTTGTGCGTATTATACCAGTGCTCCAGCACTAACTACATCCTAAGCCCTACAATGCAATCTTTTTTGGGGGGTGGTGTGTACCGAGGATTGAACTCAGAGACACTCTACCACTGAACCAAATCCCCAGCCCTATTTTGTATTTTATTTAGAGACAGGATCTTTAAATAAATAGGTTACATATATGGAATATTATGTATCTTTTATGTATGGAATGTATTATGAATGGAATACATAATACTAATATAGATACTAATATAGGGGCTGTGGTGTGGTTCAGTGGCAGAGCGCTCGCCTAGCACGTGCGAAGTCCTGAGTTCGATCCTCAGCACCACATAGAAATAAATAAAGATGTTGTGTCCAATGACAACTAAAAAATAAATATTAAAAAAAGAGATACTAATATAGATCATATGTACATGACATGAATTAAGTACTTTGCAGAAGTGTTTACGGTATAAACGTATTTTAAAAAAAAATTATAGAAAAAAAAAAAGACTGTGTAAACAACTGATTGACTATATGAGGTTGGTAGTGAGAAGTGGTAGATATGAAGCCTAGGAACTCTGGATAATGAAGATAACTGAGCATCTGTTTATTGCTTGACATTTTGAGAATAGCATCACCACTGTAGTAGCAAAATTAAAGTGCACTCTTTGGGGGTTGGGGGACTTAGGTTGATCCGGACCCAGACCTGGCCCTCGGGACGCAAGGACTAGTCTCGTGCCCAAGTTTAGCAACCAGGCAAAACTCACAGAGAAAGGCTAGACTGCTCAGCCAACCTCCAAAAGGACGCTCGAAAGGGGAGCAGCATTCCTGTCCCGCTCCTGCGCATATGTTGTCCAACAGAGGTTAGGGAGGGTGGGGTTTGAGCGTATCCGAGATACAATTGGTCCTAGGGTCTCCCCGCCCAGAAGTTGGGCGGGGCAGCGTGGTGACGTCGCAACGCGGGGCGCAGGAGCAGAGAGCGCGCGCTTGCGGACGCGGCGGCATTAAACGGTTGCAGGCGCGGCGCACTGGTCGTCGTCTTCTCTAGTCTCCGACGCCGCCGTGTTTGCCCGCTCTCTCTGGGCCTCGGGAAGCCTAAACTCCGACTAGACCTTACTGATTTTCACTCAGCTGTAGCTGCGTCGTAGACTTCGCCACCATGTTCGAGGCGCGTCTGGTCCAGGGGTCCATCTTGAAGAAGGTGCTCGAAGCGCTCAAGGACCTCATCAACGAGGCCTGCTGGGACATCAGCTCTGGTGGTGTAAACCTTCAGAGTATGGACTCGTCCCATGTCTCCTTGGTGCAGCTCACCCTGCGCTCCGAGGGCTTCGACACCTACCGCTGTGACCGCAACCTGGCCATGGGTGTGAACCTCACCAGGTGAGTTTCAGGGCCGCGGGGAATCGGGCCCTGGCTCTCCTGCAGCCCCTGCTCTTGGCGGGAGCGCCTCCAAATCGGGCCTTCATTGGATGGCGTTGGCCATCTGCGACTTCTCATTGGCCTGTGATGCCGGAGGCGGGACCCACTGGAGCGCGCGGTTCAGAAAAGCCCGCGCTGGCAGCCGAGCGAGCCGGCTTTTTTCCGCGCCAAAGTCACAAAGCCATGGTGGTGGCGGGAAAATGACAATCTTTGCCCCATTGCCTGAAAAAAAGACTGTTTCAAGTTCTCTGCTCACTAAATTCCCGCAACCTTGAATGGGACATTTAAGGTCCTGATTGACTTTAAACGCCTATAACGTGCCCTACTGAAAATGTGTCACTCTGTATAGGGGCAATAGGTTGTTTCTACTCTTTATTTATTATTAAAGTCGCAGTGACTATTTTCAGCTCCAGAACTTGTGGGAAAATTTATCCAGAGTAGTGCCTATCTAGTGCACATGTATGTTTTCATTTAGAGAAGATTTATGAGAAATATTGACTTATAATACAAGCAGTATTTTAATAGGTCTATTAGATTTTTCCCCCCTTGCTGTGTTGAGGATCAAACACAGGGCTTTGCCGTGTGCTAGGCAAGCATTCTTACCACTGAGTTACACCCCCAACGCTAATCCCCACTCCTCCTTTCTGGGGATTGAACTCCGGTGCACTGCCATTGAGCTACATCTCGAGCCCTATTATATTTTTGACACAGGATCTCATTAAGTTGCCGAGGATGGCCTAGAATTTGTGATCCTCCTGTTTTGGCCTCCTAAGTTGCTGGAATTGCAGGCATGTACCACCACACCTGGCCCTAGATCATTTTTAATGATCATTGTGGTCTGACAATTTACCCGCTGAAAGGATTTATAATTCAGAAAATGCTCTGATTTATACTCGGATGAAATTGCTGGTGTTAGTATGTTTAAGGCACTGGGGTCAAACTCAGCACCTAATGCATGTTAGACAAGTCTCCACTACAAAGCAGTATATCTAGACAAGAAATCTGATTCTTGAGCAGGTGTTATTGATTTTAAATCCTGTGTCTTTTGTCTTGTATTGTAGCATGTCCAAAATACTAAAATGTGCTGGCAATGAAGACATTATTACATTAAGGGCTGAAGATAATGCGGATACATTGGCGCTAGTATTTGAAGCACCGAGTAAGTTGTACCTTTTTACTGAATTATACAAAATTACTGTCAGTTATGTCAGTAATTCTCAAAGCTGTGAATATTTTGAGAATGTCTATAGTGGTTATAAAGTATAACATCCTAGTTATGAACACTTTTTTCAGTAACATTTGCTTTCTTTTGTTAGATCAAGAGAAAGTTTCAGATTATGAAATGAAGTTAATGGACTTAGATGTTGAACAACTTGGAATTCCAGTGAGTATCAGTTTCTGATTATGGAGTACCATATAGTCGTGATAATTAATGTAAAATATGAATATAATAATTTAAAGCCTACTTCCTAACAGAACTTTTTATAGAAGCATATCAGCTGGTTCATGGTCCAAACCAGATTTTAGTATTAACCTTATTAATATCAAAGGAGAGAAGAGATGTTGGGATATTTAAAATGTCTAATATACTATTTTCTCCTTTCTTTTAGAATGCAACTAAATTCTGTGTCATAAAATAGTGTCTTTTTTTTTTTTTTTTTACTTGCATACCTCCTGCCTCAACCTAGCTGGGATTACAGGCATGTGCCACTGCATCCTGATTTGTAATGTTCTCTTGATTTAGGCCTGGAAGATGATCATGAGGGGGTTCTTGTTCATTGGATAGTGGAATATATTAGGAAATTACAATGAGCTGGGCACAGCAGCCTCCTATAATCCCAGCTATTCAGGAAGCTGAGGCAAGAGGATTACAAATTTTAGGCCAGCCTGAGCAACTTAGTGAGATTGTCTCAAAAATTTTTGAGCATTAATAAAAAGGCTAGGGATATGACCCATTGGCAGAACACACCTGAGTTCAGTTCCTAGCACTGGGGGCAGGGATGGGAATTATACAGTGAGTAATATTTCAAAGTAATCAGAAAGTCTTTAGCTTTTCTTAAAATATCACATCTTAAAGTGAGGATGCCAGGTCTTTACATTTACAGCATTAATGTTATCTTTTTTTTTGGCAGTGCCTGGGGATCAAACCCAGAACCTCAAATGTGCTAGGCAAGTAGTGCTCTACCATTGAGCCAGGTCTCAGCCCTAACTTTTGAGATTTTTTTGTTTTGCTCATAGGAACAAGAGTACAGTTGTGTAGTAAAGATGCCTTCTGGTGAATTTGCACGTATATGCCGAGACCTCAGTCATATTGGAGATGCTGTTGTCATATCCTGTGCAAAAGATGGAGTGAAATTTTCTGCAAGTGGAGAACTTGGAAATGGAAACATTAAGTTGTCTCAAACAAGTAATGTTGATAAAGAAGAGGAAGCTGTAAGTAATAAAATTAAATTTCTATTTAAATAAATAGAAATTTTTGAAGAAAGTTTTACTGTTTACCACTAGTTTATTTGCCAAAATTAAAGAAAAAAAACTGTAAATAGTTCGTGAAAACTGAAAGATACTGTTGAAATTGGCAAGTGCCATTTAATTTAAAATTACATCTGTGAAAAGGGAGTGCAAATTCAGCACTTTTACAAACCACAAAATAACGGGGTGTGGATAAAAACCATACATTCTCTAAAGTTAGGATTGATACAACCTTTAGCTTTCTGGAGATGTTTACTCTGCATTTCTCAAATTAGGCTGGGATAGCAACTCAACAGAAGGATGGATTGGGATGAAAGTCCAGCTGTTACTAGCTCCCCAGTAGTACTATTAGTTGTATGTATTGTAGGTTCAGTTGTTAGCTCATTTTGAAGGTAGAAAAGCAAAAAGCGCAAGATTAAGAGACAATTTAGACTAAGTGACCTGGTGTCAGAATCAAACTTAAATGAGAGTATTTTTCTCATTAAGGCCAGAACATACACTTCATAAAACTTGGAAAGAACTGCGTTAAATGCTGAATATTGATTAGCGTTGAATACTTAAGCTTTTTTTTTTTTTTTCCCCCAGTTTGAGAGAGTGCCTAGAGAAGCCTCATTTAACCAAAATATAAAGAACTCTAGGTCTGAGGGCTTAGTCCAGTGGTACAGCAATTTCCTGATATGCACCAAGTTCTGGGATCAATTCCTAGCACCACAAAAAGGAAAAAAATAATGTGTGTTTACACACACACACACACACACACCAACATTTTTAAAAGCCTTACATATCATGTCCAAGAAAATAATTATAAGGAATTTTTAAGCATTCACCTTCCCCTGGTTATTTCAGAACAGTTTGTTTAAATTGGAATTTTAAGTATTTTTTTAGTTGTAGATGGACACACTATATTTCTTTATTTTTATGTGATGCTGAGGATCAAACCCAGGGCCTCACACATGCAAGGCAGGTGCTCTACCACTGAGCCCCAGGCCCAAATCAGGATTTTAATAAGGTTCATACATTGAAATTTGTTGACATTGCCCTTAACTTTCATTTTACCTGTTGGTTAACTCTTGAGCTTTTTTTCCCTCTCCATTTACAATATTTTAGTTAAAACTAGATTATTTGTTTTAGAGTTTTCTTAAGTGTGAATTTTGCCAGTTGTATCCCTGTGTGTCAGTTAATATGTGTGTCCACCCTGTATTTTCTGTAAATCAGTAGCTACAGGTCTCAAGCTTGATGACATTCAAAGTGTTCTCTTGTTTGTTTTGAGGTTGGGAGAGCCAGAATACTTTAGATGGTGGTATGTATCTTCAGTAGGAGACACAAGGCGAATGGATGTCTTTTTTGGAATGTTAGCTATCATCTAGAGTTGTTGTCATTAGGGTTTGCAAAGCTGAAATATAATAGTTTATTTCATTCCTCCTATTTCTTTATTAGCTGATTTGTTTATTAGGAATATTTTCATTAAGAGAAGTTTTCCCATTATTACATTTTAGTTGATGGTTTATATAGGAAAGATAAGCCAAATACTTTTTTGGGGGGAGTCCTTAAATTCACTTCAGAGTACTCTTCAAAGTTACCAGTAGAGGTGTTTATTATGGCCTACAACTTTCTTGGTGTTTTTCAACATGACAAATCTTGTTTTCTCCTGTAGGTTACCATAGAGATGAATGAGCCAGTTCAGCTAACTTTTGCACTGAGGTACCTGAACTTCTTTACGAAAGCCACTCCACTCTCTCCTACAGTAACACTCAGTATGTCTGCAGATGTACCCCTTGGTAAGATGATAATAAATTTGAACTTTGTTTTGTAGGTAGTATATTTGATACTGCCCTTCAGTAATTCACTATTTTCTTGTCTTTCAGTTGTAGAGTATAAAATTGCTGACATGGGACATTTAAAGTATTATTTGGCTCCCAAGATCGAGGATGAAGAAGGATCTTAGGCATTCTTAAAATCTGAGGAAATAAAACTAAGCTCTTTGAGAACTGCTTCTAAAATGCCATCGTGTACTGAAAGTCTTTTCTGTCACCAAATTTGTAACTGAGTACATATGTAGATAATGTTTTCTGTAAATAACCTATTTTTCCCCTTCCATCCTCTACAGCTTAAGAATAAAATCCAAAGTCAAATCTGGTTTTGTTAACCTAGAAATACTTCTTTCTGCCTTACGTAGAAATACTTCTGGTGATTTTTATAACAAAAAGGTCTTGACTTTAAATGCAGTTTTAAGAATTGTTTTTCGATTTAAATAAAGTTATCTGAATTTCAGATGTCACAGGAAAGTGTCTTCATTTGAACCATGATGGGCTGCAAATGTCTTACCATTTTATGTAAATGTGGCTTTTTTTTTTTTTTGGAGTCTACAGCATCCTGGTATAATTACATTAAGAAGAAGATGGCAATAAATATTTCTTTTATGTTTAGTAGATTCAATGACTAGTTTCTATCGTACTTGCACTGAGTTCATTTTCTGGATGTTAATAACTCATCATATTTAGTTGGTATTCACTACCTACTCTGCCAGTACATGGGGAAGGAAATAGGCTGCAAAGGTGTCTGGAACTTTGGGGGGGGGGGGTGGTGGAAATATTTAACTAGACTGGTCACAGTTCCAGGACTGTAAAATTTGTCTGAATTCATCTAATTGTACTTCACCATGTGTAAGTTGTACGTTAGGAGGCCTTATTTCAAAAAGCTTCACATGGTGCAAAAGTCCCTTGTGGGCCGGCCATTTACCAGGGCAAAGCGCTACTGGCCTGGGGAGGGAAAGGGCACAAGAATAGATCTGCTTAGAGTGCAGTGGTAGTCTGCGTCCCTTGAGCACTGAATTGAGATCTGGGTACACTGAGGTCCTGGGCTTACCCCTCCTGGGGGACTCCACTGGCTCCGGGGGTCAAGAAAGGAATCACTGCAGCCTTATCCGGGCCCCTACTATGACCCAGGTGGGCGGGGCCCTATGTACTCTGGCCTGCCACTCTGACGGTGGCCGCGGGCTGACCAGGTCGCAGCAGCTTCCTACACCACCACGATACGCCCCGACAAGCCCCAGCGCTTGCTGCAAGATGAGTTCTCCCGCCAAGGGCTATCCTGGGCGCGCCCAGGAAGCGGGTGAGAAGTCGCTCTTGGTGACGCAACTTCCGGCGCGCCTTCATCCGCACGCCACTTCCGGCGGCGAGCTGGTATTTGCTAGGTCGGCGGTTAGGTTGGCTGTGCCATGAGGCCTGGGACGCCTCGGCTGGTACCCGTGGGCGAGTTCCTCTCTAGCTCCAGTCTTAGCGCGGTGCTCCGGTAAGACATGCGTGGGTTGGGGCGGGGCGGGGCGGGAGCTTCGCACCCCCTCGCTACAAGCCAATGTTCCCGCCTGAAGCAAACTGGAGTTCTCTGCCGGAGTCCTAGATGTGAAGCGTTCGCTTGCTTCGCACGGTTGGCCTCTTTCCAGAAACTAGTTTTGTTTGCTTTTGGTCTAAATGTGCGTCGGCTTTTCCTTGCGTGGCGACGTCCGGAGACGGGCAGGAAAATAAGGATATAAAGGAGCGTAATGTCAGGCACTGGGCTTTACTGATGCTCTTATTAACACTTCAGGGGCTGAGGGAATTTGGAGGTTGCGGTGGAGATGGTTAAAAGCCTGTTAGAAACTTTGAGACTTTGAAAATATTCTGTCAACTTTTTTCTTTTTATCTTTACCATGAATAAGTGAATGAAAATAAGCTAGAATAGATAGTAAAATGACCAAGATGGGCCCCATTCAACCACACCTGGAGACTAACTGGTACACCTATTAATGAGCAGCACCTTCAAAGCCTGTTTCAAATGTAAAAGACCTTGAGGCTCATCTGTGGGAACACCTCCAGCTAATTCCTTTGTCCCAGAGGTGGAGAATGGAAGATGAGGGTGAGCACAGATGAAGTTAGTAGGAAGAAGGATGGCTCATGGGAAGGACAATGGAAGTGAACTGGATGGTCTATTTTACATAGATTTTGTTCCACGCTCTGCTCAAAACAATATATAAACTCCTAAGCTGGCACACCAAAATGTTTTTCTGTTATCAGTCCCCCTCCGGCTTGGCGGGAGTTCTATCTCTTGTTGCTTAAATAGATCCTGCTCTGTTTACCCTAACCTTCCGTGATTGTGGATTTTAGTCTTCAAAATTTGGGAAACAAGAACCCAGAAGAAATTGGTGAAGTGGGCAATTGAGTCTCATCTCAAAACTCTGGTTTCATAAGCATTTGTCTCTCCTCTCCTTCTCACACCTTGTGTGTTTTTGTTATATGCAAGTGTGTGAATAATTAATGGAGGATAATTTTTTTTTAAAGAAAGGATTATACAAATCGGGTATAGTCAAATGCCCTCAAAACTAACACACATTGGTAGTTTGAACTTTAAGTTTTATAGAATTAACTTTAATTAATCGCTACACTAATAACCTAATATTTAATGCACCTTGTTCTAACTCCCCTGATTACTCCAACCCCCCTTACTTGGGATTGAATTCAGGGCCTAGTATGTGATAGGTGGGCATGCTAACACTGAGGTACATCCCCATCCCTCTGACCCTTTTAGAAAAGCATATGGGTTAGCATTACTTTTATTTTTTTCAATACTTGATTATTGGACTAGTGTTAATAAAAATGACAGGATAGCACCAGTTCTTTCATAATGCTGTTACTTTAAGTCGACTGTAATAATTAGTCAAGTTTTGGTCAAATATGTATACAGCATTTAGAGATGAGCCTGACACCTAACCAAGGCTAAGTAAATGGTAACTGCCACATGATAAATTATAATCATGATTTACTAAATGTCACATGGAGAAAGGCCAGTCTGTTCTGTTGCCCTTGTTGAAGTACGTAAGTTTCTCAGATGCTTTTGAATTTAAATTTACTTGTTCACATACCTTGGTGACTTTATGGAGGAAAAGTGTACAGATTTCAGATTTTTAAAATTTAAATGTCATTGCTTTTAAGTCTTATCCACTTTCAAACAGACAATATAGGAATGATTTCATTACTGCCGTCTTCAAATATTTTGGACAATAAGCCAGACTTTTAATTCAGGTTTGTTTGTTTAATTCAGTATTTTTAGGTAGCCACACAGCCCAGAAAATGGAATCACAACTTATCAGTGTTTGGAATGGAACAGAGAGGGGTATATTAAAGGCACTGGTGTAGTACTAATAGCCAAGAGGTTATCTAAATTTATAAGAATGCCTTAAAAGGGTGATATCATCCAACAAGGGGAAATAAGCAAAATGCTGATGTGAGTGTATTCCATTTCCCACCCTCTTTTCCTTCCTTGGTAAGTAAGAAAATCACTTGAGTGTATGTTTCTAAGCTGGGGTAGGGGGCAAGAAGTACTTCTTTAGCATCAAGTGCACCTGAATTTAAGTCCCTCTTCCAGCTACTCTCTGGTGACTTTGGAAGAATTAGGGAACACTGGTGGTAAGGTAAACTGGAATTTGGTTCTTGGTGAATGTCCTGGTTCTCATTCTATGAGGACAAACCAAATTAAATACGTACTGAGGTTTTTTTGTACTCTGTCAAAGGAATATCAGGTTTTAAGAGCAATGAAGCCTAAATCATCAGTTGCAATATGATATGGCAGCCCTGAATTCCAGTAGATAGAATCTGAAGTTGGCTGTAATGTATTATCATCACCTACAGACAGTAACACTTTTTTTCATTGTTGTTTTAGACTGTAGCTGTGTCCGTGTGTTATGATGCCGTCTCGTACTAATCTGGCTACTGGAATCCCCAGTAGTAAAGTAAAATACTCAAGGCTCTCCAGCACAGATGATGGCTACATTGACCTTCAGGTAAATGCAGAAGGGAAGTGACAAGATTGGTGACTATTCTGATGAGTTAGCAGGAAGACCTTCATGGTGGAAGTTTTGCTAATTATCCCTGAAGATTGGAATGAACAGTGAGAAGTAAACTCATTTCTGCGACTCTTAGCCCTAGCTTGCTGAAGCAAACCTTGGCAGGGCAGTTTCAAACCAATTCCAACATTATCTATTTCTTTAAAAAAAAAAAAATGTAATTGTAATGCCAGAGTCCTATAGTTGCCTATAGTTGTACACTTTATTTAGTATGTCCAAAAATAATCAGATTTTAAGTGGATTTGTGTTAAGGATTGTTTATTTACTCTTTAGTCAAAGTCAGTTCATCTTTTAAGGGAGAAACTAACTGCTGAAGCCAGCAGATTGTGGGAATCTTCATTCTTTCCTGATGTCATGAGATCCAATTTATTAAAGGTATTCTTTGATAAACAGTAAGTAAAACAGAATATTGATAAGTTTATATTCTACCTTGACCATTATCTACAAAATAGTAGCATATCATCTCTTTTTGCCCACTTCCACTTAAAGTAGAATATTCTAGATAAAACTAGAAATAACAGGAACCCATCCTTTTAAATATAAATAAATCAATTATTGTTTGTACTCTCTGGACCCATACTTAAAGGACAGATAAAAATAGATCTGGGAAGCTTCCAGCCAGTTAGCTCAGATTCAACTGTGAGCCAAACATTAGAAAGTTTGTGTGTGAATCTTAAGCTTGAATTGAACTGTTTGAGTGGTAATGCCTTACCAAAAAAAAACCTGGAATTTTCTGTTTCTAAAAACCTTCCAGGGTGTACAGACTTAACTTTGGATGCCAAAAATCTCTTAACTTCTTTACTTTTCCTTAGCATGTTATAAGTTAGTACCTGTGCAAGGCATTTAATAAATGTATGTCTAATGAACAAATAACCATAAAGTAGTTCCTGTTTTTATTTCTTGAAAAAAAAAATTAAGGTACAGTGAATGGTGTGTGGAATTAGTTAAAACTAGAAAATATGACATTTCATTGGAATTCCTTTGAGTAACCTGTCCTTTCCCTTTCTCTCCCAGAGTTGCACTGGATGGTAGGACATATTTCAACACACTTGAAGTATCCACTTTGGTTGTTAATTATCCTCCCTGCTTTAAAGTGTTTTTGCCCTGGTATTTTCATAATGATGTTCTTTGTCTTTTTTGTTTTTGTTTTCTCTTCCAGTTTAAGAAAAGCCCTCCTAAGATCCCTTATAAGGCCATTGCACTTGCCACTGTGCTGTTTTTGATTGGCGCCTTTCTCATTATCATAGGCTCCCTCCTGCTGTCAGGCTACATTAGCAAAGGGGTAAGCTGATGGGCATGTGGGAATGTGCCATGAGATCTTTAAGACAAGAGCCACAGCTGTAGTTTCCAGCAGAAAGAAGAAAAAGATTTTCTTTTAGTCCCAATGATGAGTTGCCATGCTAATACTGAGCCACCAGGTAGGGCAGTATTGCCCTGATTTGGGTGCCAGTGAGTTTAACAAAACTTCTCAAATGGAAACCTGAGGGACATGTTAAAAAAAAATTAAAAAATACATATGGGTGTGTGTGGTGTGTGTGTGTGTGTGTGTGTATGTATATAACATATGTATATAAAATAATAAAACATGTTTACCTCTGAGCAACAAAGTTTTCCTATATTTCCTGTGAGGTGGGTAGGCAAACTTGGTCACTGAAATATTGAACAATTTGCCCATTGTATGACAAATTATGCATAGCTGAACCTAGCTTCCAAGATTCATTTTTGATAAGGGGCTCTAGCTAGAGCAGCATTCTGTCATTGTAGCTTTGCAGCAGTACAGACTTACTGGTGAGTGGGGAGAAGCAGTTAATGTATAGGTCTGGTACCACTGAACCATACATCAGTTTAGTTCCTTTTTATGTTGGGTTTGGTTGGAGTTCCTATTAAGTTTCAGTATACCTTAGAAACCTAAAGTGATATTTAGTAGCTCTTTCTCTTAGGCTGTCCTCAATACATAGTTGTCCTGAACTGATTCTATTATTCACATCCATTCTGTTAACACACACAGAGAAAAGCAGGGGTTTATTGTGGTATTCTGTACAATTATAAAAAGTAAGGCACAGCATGTCCAATAGCTATACAAAGAACAGCAGAGTAAAAGTATGATATGTCCATTTTGGTGGAGTGTTAACACATTTTAAATATATGAAGAGTTATAATAATAACAAATACTTATTATAAAGAGACAATAGGACAGAGAATATGATGTGTCCACAATTAAGAACTTTTAAAAAGGAGAAGGAGGGGCTGGGGCTGGGGCTCAGTGGTAGCACACTTGCCTGGCATGTGTGAAGCAGTGGGTTCAATTCTCAGCACTGCATATGAATAAATAAAATAAAGGTCTATCAACAACTACAAAAATATTTTTAAAAAGAAGAAAGAAATGAGCCATATATCTGGAATAGAATGGATAGTTTTTCTTTTATAATTTTTGGTACTTTGCAGTTTTCCTTCAGTTGATTGAATGACTGAGAAGGGGTCTTGATGTAGCCTAGGTTGGCCTTGAGTTACCTCAGCCTTCTGAGCAGCTAGGATTACAAGTATGCCCTGCCTTTCCTTCACTTTATAAACAGGAAGAAAGTAAATGTAAATCTTTTCCCTTGTGTACTATTCAAAGAAAATGTTCAGGAAAGTATACAATGCCTGTGTCTTTCACTTAAAATTTATTAACTTGTATAATTCTGATGTTTTCCTTCTTCTGCCACCAGGGGGCAGACCGGGCCGTTCCTGTCCTGATTATTGGCATCCTGGTGTTCCTGCCAGGATTTTACCATCTGCGCATCGCCTACTATGCGTCTAAAGGCTACCGGGGTTACTCCTATGATGACATTCCAGACTTTGATGACTAACACTCACTTCAGCCCTGAGACAAATCACAGTGGAACTAAACTCAGCTTTAAGATATTGAACAGAAACTATGGCTAAGGGCTGAGGAATTATGCAGTTTGCAGATGTTTGACAAAACAATGGCCAGAGTTTATGGTTCCATCCCAGAAATGTTCATTGAGCTTAATTAGCTAATTAGGAAACGCTGTTTTTCATCTGGCCGTGGCAAAACTCAACAAGTTTTTCCACATGTATCATGGAAGAATAGCAATGCTAATTGGGAAAACAGGAGATTATCCTGTAGTGGAAAGTGTTACCATTCCCACCCTCTTTATATTGAGCATTTCTTTTAAATAGTCTTCTTTGTCAATTTGTTATTGTAGCAAATGGAAGAGTGTGGTATGTCTAATTTCTTAGTTACTAAGTAATTTATTTTTAAAATATCAAAAGATCTTATCCCCTACACTTAACTCTACTTTCACATTCTGGTGGAAGACCTCCCTAAAACCACATGTTGGTGTGGCTCCATCTGTAATATTTTTTACTTTGTTTCTTAGTGACAGGAACCAGGAATTTTTTGAGCCACAGAGTAAGTTTTCAAAGTATAAGCACTGTCTCTGATAACCAATCCTTGACCAGCTCTGATCTTGTTTCCCAATAGGATGGCCTGCATATAATTTGGGTCATTCTATCCTTTGTAGATCAAGATGTTCTATATATCATGCCTTTAAAGACTGAACTTTTGGCTGTTCCCTAATGAAAAAAAATGAAGATAAGTGGTTGCTATTTAGAGTGTATAACTCTATTGGTAGCACCTGGTACTATAGTGTCATTCTGCTGAAGATCTCAAGACTTGGCTTGGATCCCTAGAGGACCACATCCTTAGGTTGATTCTATTTCTTTGCTTGAAAAAGTGACTTATATTCAAAAGAAATTAAAATGTCAGAATCCAAATCCTGGACTAAACATGAGTTAACTTTAGACATAATTCAGAAAACATTTCAATGATTTTATAAAGTACCCAGGAATAACTGTTTTGGGGTAACTGGCATCATGAGTTAGACTACTTTCTAGTCATTCATTTACTCTGAGGTTAATAGATTTGAACAACTATAAGCTTGGATGTACCATCAGCTGAAATTTTGAAGGCTGTGATAGGGCAATTTTGGGGGGAAAGATGAGTTTGGTTTTGGATATGTAAATGTAGATGTCTCCTTGACATCCAGGTGGTGCTGTGGAGACATTAGTTGCAGTACAGTGTGGAGTTCACAAGAGAGCATTTAAGCTAGAGATAGAAATGTAGGATTCAGTGTTTAGACATTATCTTCAGAACCTGGGGTTGGATGAGATCACAGGTGGAGTGAGTGTACAGAGAGAAGATGACTCGGGAATGAGGGCAGCCTCCAAGTTTGGGTGCATTTAGAAATGGGAAAGGAGCCTAGGGAATCTGGTATTCTAAAGTTGTTGGGCCTTGTCAGTGAAAATGTGAGATAATATTTATAAAACTTTATGTTGGGCAGTGCTTGCAAAGCTCACACATAGTAGTTTCAGCCAAATTAAATTATTTGGTCTTTTTTTTCTTGTAAGGGGGAAATCAAGATGGAACAGAAAGGTATAAAGTCAAGAGTAAACATTTGCTCTCCAAACTTGCCTCCAAAGGTTGTCCAATTAAGTTCCTTATATAGTTTACAGAAATGTTCTAAGCATATAAGCATGGATACCTTTTTATTTTTTTAATTTGAGCTTCAATTGTATGGCCCTATTTTTTTTTTTTTTCTATTCTGTTTTGTATAGGTTTCCATGATTTTTTTTGGAAAGATCAGTTTCCCCCAACCCAAGTATTGGGGACCAAATCCAGGGCCTCACATGTGCTAGGCAGGCACACTATCACTGAGCCACATACCCACCCCTGGCCACATTATTGTAATTTTCCATTATATGCATGTAGTCTTGGGGCCCCCTGAAGGAATAACCTTTGCTGCTCTATTTGAGCATTCCTGTTACCTGAGTATCTTATCACACATGTAACTTCTTTGCATTGACAGTAACTATACTGGTGCTTAATAGAGGAGGTCTAAGCCTCCGTAATAATGGTGAATATTTCTTGAACCCTTTTCTAAGGGTTCTTCATTATCATTTTAATCCTTGAGAAAATCCTGAATTAGGTATGATTCTTACTTAGGCCAAACCTGAATGAATGACTTTCGGGACTGGGCAAATAAAATCAAAGTAGAGGGATAGATTTTAAGAGTAATGGGGACCAAGGTCAAATGTCAAATGGATATCATATAAAAGCAGCTCCTCCCATTTTAAGTCTGGTTAAACCAGGTGTTCTAAATTTGTGACAACTATTACACTTCTTATTAGGCATGTCCAGGACTACTTTTTAAACCTTCATTCTGGCTGGTGTGGCACCTGTAATTCCAGTGACTGAGCCTGATCTTGAACTTGATCTTCCTCTTTCAAGCACCATCCCACTGGCCCTGTTGCTGGGATTACAGGTGTGGCCCACTGTGCAGGCTGTACTTTGTTCCATTGTGTAAGCAGGTGGACTGACTCTACTCAATTCAGACTTTACTAAATGGCCCTCTGCCAACTGTTCTGCAGGCCAGCTGCTCTGCAAATGGTGCTCCCAGGTGAGTGAAAGCCTCTTGGCTTTCTGCTCAAGCCAGCAGACCCAGTTCATAGACTACACACACTAGCTGGCATAGGAAGTGTCTCATTAGTGTTACCAGGGAGCCTGATATTGGGAGAATTAACAGTGCTGACTTACTTGCACCGTCCTGGGGATTGAACCTAGGACTTGCACATATTGGGCAAGTGCTCCACCACAGAGCTATATCCCCAGCCCTTATGTTGGGTTTCTACTAAGGGTTATACAAAGTCAGTGTCCATTGGTTGGCTTGGCCTGTCGTCTAAATTCTTATCCTGATACTTTTTTCCTAGATTCAGTCCCAAAGGTATGTAGTTAAATCAGTTTAGTGCATGGGTTATTGGACTAATTCTTTCGAGCACAGTTTTTATATAAAGTGGAGGTGGGGGTGAAATGAAGCAGTTTGTACAGAGAATTTACACATAGTAAGCACCGGGTACATGGAGATGGAGGTCACTCCCTTGGTGTGGGATAAAGGATGTCGGCCCATCTGCTGTTCCTTGGGCCATCCTGAGGAACCTGCCATTCTGTTGGCAGAACTACCCCAGAACCAGGGACAGGAGCTAACCCAGCTCCCTTCACTGACAGAACTGCCTACTGGAGGTTGTGAAGATACCTCAGCCCCTGGCCTTTTGACAGCATTTTCCTGGGCCTGGGTCCCTCTGTGCATCAAGGCAGAGAAGGCCCTGTGGAGAAGAACTTGAAAATGAGGTGGTTCAGAGGAGCTTTCGACTTGTTCTCCTGGAGCTTATTATTCCCTGTTTTCACCATTCCTCCCTCAGTACTCCCACACTTGTCCCTTGCTGCTCAGGGGCTAGTCTCTGGATCAATGGCATAGATATCACTTGGGGACTTATAAGAAATGCAGTATCTTGGGCCTGCTGACTAAATCGGACCCCATGTTGTGATGATGCCCTAAGATATTCACTGCCAGTATCAGAAGTGCTGGCCAGAGTACCCTGTGCCACCTACACCATTTTCTTTCTTTGAGACTGGACCTCCTCCAACAGTGCCAGTGGTTGTAGAACACTCAGAAGGTATAGTCCTTCTAGATCCATCATTATTCTCTAGCTAGACAATAACACCCAGGGGCCTAAGGAAGCTTTGTAGAAAGGGCACGGAAACAATGCAGGAATATTTCGTAAACAAACTTTTGTGAGCACTGAGAAACCAAACAAGGCCTAAAGAGGCAGTAGGTCCATGGCAGGAGTGGAGCTTTGGTACCCCAAAGACCTACCGAAAAGAACAATGTGCAATATATGACCCAATCAGAGGCAGAACAGGTTTTTTCCTCTGGTTTCTGTGGAAGGCAGCCTGTTAGCTCTAGAGTTAACCCTAATCCTTGGTGTTCCTTTCTGTCTCCATTCTTTCATTATCAGTATCTTGAGAATAGCCAGCTAGCTAGAAAATGCTTCAATATGAAGGATGAAGTTTTTTGGCCAAGACTTTAATCCCTTGAGAGGGTTTTCTCTGGGATTAATAGTATCTTCAGAGTTTGCCCTGAGGCCCTGGGGTTGAAATCTCCCTATAGCTAAAACAATGGCAGCAGCCTTATTATGAACAGGCTGGGAGAGTTTGTGGCCTAGTGGACCATAGTGAGCATAGGAGCACCAGGCGTGGTAGTGCATTCCTGTGCTAATTTCAAAACCAAACGCAGCACCTTAGTGAGGCACTTATGACTCAGTGAGATCCTGTCTAAATAAAAGAGGAAAAAAAGAGATAAGAGCAACCGGAAGGAACCTGGAGCAAGTCAGGCCATGTGTTTTCATATTTGAGATATTGATTTATTTATTTAATGGTGCTGGGAATCAAACCCAGGGCTTTATGCATGCTAAGCAAGTGCTCTACCATTGAGCCACACTCCCAGCCCTGTGATCTATGATTTTAAGACTAGCACAAAGGAGCATGTTGAGAGCCAAGGTTTCCCATTCTTGGGGTTGTCAGATTTATTCCTGAGTTTTGTTTTTTTTTTAAGAAATTGGATTGTTTTCTTGGTTTATATTATTATTATTATTTACCTACAGCTTTTCTGAATTTGTTCTTTTCCATATTTTACATTATAATTTGTATTATGAGTATGCATAATCATAATACTGGGATTTGTTGTTACATATGTGTACTTGTACATGATATAACAATATAATTTGATTAGTATCATTCTCAAGTATTTCCTTTTCCACTCCCCTTCTCCCTTTTTTCTCCTGATCTCCCTTTGATTTTCATGAGATCCACCCTACCTCTTTTTCCTTTTTCTGCTCTAGCTTCCAGATATGACAGAGAACATACAACCCTTGATTTTCTGAGTTTGGCTTATTTTGCTTAAGGTAATGCTCTGTTGCATCCATTTTCCTACAAATTACATAATTTCATATTTCTTTATTGCTGAATAAAACTCCACTGTGTATATATACCATATTTTTAAATCCATTTATTCACTGATAGACTCCTAGGCTGGTTATGTTGTTTGACTATTGTGAATTGTGCTGCTATAAACCTGGGTATGCATGTGTCACTATAGTATGATGACTTTAATTCTTTAGGCTAAATACTGAGGAGTGGTGTGGTTGGGTCATATGATGGGTGACATTCCTAGTCTTTTGGGGAAACTGCATACTGATTTCCGTGGTGGCTGTGCTAATTTACAAATCCACCAACAGTGTACAAGTGTTCTTTTTTCTTCACGTTTACTCCAGTATTTATTATTTTTATCATTGTCATCTTACTCTCTTCCTCTTGCAATTCTTCTTCCTCCTCCTCTTTTTTCTCTTGTTCCTTTTTTTCATATTGGGATTGAATCCAGGGGTGCTTTACCACTGAACTGCATTTTTATATCTTTTTTTTTGTACCAGGGATTGAATTCAGGAGTACTTGACCACTGAGCCACATCCCCAGCCCTGTTTTGTATTTTATTTAGAGACAGAGTCTCACTGAATTGCTTAGCACCTCGCAGTTGCTGAGGCTGGCATTGAACTCATGATTCTCCTGTCTCAGCCTCCCAAGCCGCTGGGATTACAGGCATAGGCTACCATGCCTGGCTGCATCCCTAGATCTTTTTATTTTTTATTTGAAGACAGGGTCTTGCTAAATTGCTGAAACTGGCCTTGAACTTGGGATCCTCCTGCTTGAGTCTCTGGGATTACAGGTGTATGCCAGTGTGCCTGGCATCTTTTTTTTTTTCCTTGCCTGATTGCTCTGGCTAAGACCTGCAGGAATATGAGAAGGGGACATCCTTGTTTTGATCTAGATCTTAGAGTAAAGGCTTTCAGCTAACCCCCATTGAGTATGATGTTAACTGTGACTTATTGTACATGACCTTTATTGTGTTGAGATACATTTCTTCTGTAACTTAAGATTTTTTTCCTATGATATTGAATTTTGTCAAGTCCCTTTTTCTATCTTTTGAGATAATCATATAAGTTTTGTCCCTTTTCCTGTTAATGTGGTGTATCACATTTATTGCTTGCTTATGTCGAATGAGGAATGTCAGAGAATGCCAAATAGTTTTTCTATTTATTGAGAAATGAAACCACACTGAGACCAAAAGAATCGTGGAATTATTTTGACACAATTTCAAAACTCCTGCTCATTCTGAACATTGACTCATGAAGATCTTCTACTGGGTTGCTGTCCTGGGTATTTCCATCTTTCTACCTCTAATAAGAGGTAAAAAAGTAATCTCTTTCCAATAGTCTTTATCAATTTCACAGTAAAAGAAGATAACTTGTCTCTGTGCAGAAATTAGGATTTTGCAATCTAGAAAAACAAATGAGGGAGGCACAAAGTCTATAAAGTCATATCAGATGTTAGCAGAGTGGACCTACATTTACATATCAAGCCCCAGGTCACTGAAACTTGGAACTGGAGTACTATGAGAACAAAATATCTCTTTATTAAAACAATTCAACTTAAACATTAACTAAAAAAAGTAGATCACAGAACTTTGAAAGTAGCTCTGCCTTGACACAATTAGATCCCTCACATGTCTTAACTATT